CTACAGAACTCTCTGAGCAGTTTACAATGTCAGCTTATTGCTCCCCATATCAGGAATGATGGAAGGCCAAGTCATCCTTGAGCCAATCAGGTCTGCACCAACATGGTTCCTTAATAAGTTGCTCCACTAACTTATTTTTTATTTATTAGATATTGTTGATTTTTTTTTTAAAAAAAAATCCCTTTAGCTTTAAAATTTTAGGTCTAATACATTCAACAAAATAGTCATCTCTGCAGCAAGAAGAAAGGCAGTAAGAGGGGCACTATCATTGTTGGCTTTCCCAAAACACTGTTCTTGTGGCAATAGCTTGGTAATTCATTCTAACCTCAGCATCAACTGTGATATATTATAAAGGCACTTCATAATCAATATGAATCTTTCAAAAATTTGACTTTGGAGAAGATGTTCAAATCAAAAGGCCCATTCCACTAGATCAAAAGTCTTATGCAGAGAGAAACCAATGCTATATTTTCCTGAAATTGGTCAAAGATAATCTGCTGTCCTGATCTGATTCATTTATTGTTGACCAGCATGTAGATAATAAAATAAACTATATAATAATATTGTAATATTATAATAAACTCTTATAAAATAAACTATGCATGCAAAAGCTAAAACCTGCCAAAACTAACTAAAAAAAGTGTCCCTCTCCCCACAAATAATGGTGTAACACAAATATAGAAATAATTCCAATCTCAAAAGATTGGTACCGGTAGTACCAAGTAGTATTCTACAGTATCAGATTCTTAACTTTAGATAGATACAAAACTTCCCTGTTTAAATCAACCCTTAAACAGGAAATTCTAATGTGTCTGAGATAAAAACAACAACAACCAATTTTCATTAGACTATTTTGGAACTCATGAAGATTACACCCAAAACCAATTTAACACACAACCCCCCAAAATGTTAAATCCAGTTATATTCAACTAAGGTAACAGACCCAATTGTAGGAAAAGCTGGGAAGTGCCCAACATTCTGTCCAAAACCATATATCCCACCACAACCGATGTCCCCACGTGCACAGGAAGAAAAAATGCAACAGAGAATCAATAAATTCCCACATGGTTCTCTCACGTCCTGGGAGTGTTAATATTATTTTATATTGCCGTTTAGTCTCAGGTGCCCTTTATGTTTTGAATTGTATGTTTAGCAACTGTGTTCTCTTCGCTGATAATGTAAAGCTATTCAACACCACAGACAATACTGCTACCTTTCAAAAAGACCTTGACTATGCATCAGAATGGTCAAACAAATGGCAACTTCAAATCTCAACAAATAAATCCTCTGTCTACATATTGGCAAAAAAAAAAAAAAAACAGAAAATAAAATACAGACTGAATAGTCAAGACCTTGTTGACAATCCAAACTCTGTCAAGGATCTTGGAGTACTCATCTCTAACCTAAGTGCTAGAGCTCACTGTAACTACATAGCCTTTCTCAACTGTGTTAATATCAGGTACGTAATGTGGGTTCCAGACTGATGAGCTGCATTCGAGTATTGGTCTAGCAAATGTTTTGTATGCTCTAGTTATTAGTGTAATATTACCAGAGAAAAAGCTATGTAAGATTAGGTTAACAACTCTTAACGCCTTTTTGGCTATGTAATTACAGTGGGCTCTAGCACTTAGATCATTAGAGATGAGTACTCCAAGGTCCTTGACAGAGTATAAGAATATAAAGGTGAACACTTATTATTTGGAATATTTCTGATTCTGATCCAAACATTTTGGAATACAAACTGAAAAAATAAAAAAAGTATGGCAAAATTGGTATTCTCAAAAGTAAGATGCAGGTAATAACTTATTTTTCAATAAATGAACATGGCAGGAACTGAATGAACATGGCCCACAGCAGTAGGCATCATTAATGGAATTTGCAGTTCCACTGCCACTTAAGGAGACCATTTTTTTAACCAGAAAACCAAATCACTAGTTTTCTACTGTTTTTCTGATTTTCCACAAATTTGGGTCCATCTGTTTATGGCTTTTGAAAAGCATGTAACCAAATCTCCCTTTTTGTAAGCTTCTGATATTTAAAAGATGTTCCAGCCCAGAGCTTCAGCAGAAAGTTCTTCCTAAATTTCTCCCTCATGTGCCAGCAATACATTACATATTCCAGAAATAGTTTCACCACAAAGAGCTATCTATTGCCATCTCTCTAATGCAATTTAGCAGCTTTTAATGTGCAGTTTCCATGTTTGGCTCTGTTATGATATAAACTTCAGGTTAACTTTAGTCCCCAAATGCTCATTAAAATGTAAGGTGGTCAAAAATTTATTTTGGAAACACCTCTCTGAAGTCGCAAGTGTGCTGTCCCAGCCAGTCTATGGAAATTGGATAGTTACTTAGGAATTATGAGCTGTCCCCTTAATATTGTTTGAAGCTGATGCACAAAGGGCTTTGATGCACAATTTGTTAGCAATTCAAAAAAGAAAGCATTTTTTGATACTAAGGATGATAGCAATATGAAAATGATGATAGTGATAATAAATGTTTTAAATAAGTAAAGTAAGGAAGCAGGTAAACAAGTAAGTAAGTATGGGGAGTGTATTTGTGAATTAAATGCTTGATGTAGCTTTAGATAAACAAATTTCTGTAGGCCAAGTCTCTCATGGTAAATGTAGTTAAAGGTATCCTGGGAAATGTAGTTCATGTCACCTGGCCACATCTGCAATCCTGATTGGTCATTAAATTGACCCTGGAGGGGTTAGGGGAGGTTTCCCTCCATTCTTGCCTGGACTCATGAACTGATTGTAGCTTTTTCTACTGCTACGAGATGGGTTAGGAGATAACAATCTTTTACCTACAAGGGAGATATACAAAGGATTGGTCATAAAAGAAGAACTTCATCACAAACGTGAGTTATGAGGATACCTGATGAACCAATAAATGTTCTTTGTTATGGACGTCTTGTTGAGTTATCTATCTGCATCTGTACAGTTCATGAATCCACCTCTGTACAAGATACAGAAAAGCAAGATTTCCAAGATTGGAAATGTCCCTTGGAAAGTCAGCCAAGGCTCTCTTTAGACTTATTTTACTCTCAACTGTTCAATTCACCTCTGAAGATTAGTTGGTCTTAATCCCCATTGGGTGGAACAGAAGGTGATAACAGAATACACAGATGTGTAATAGGCTCATTTGGCTTCCGAATTGCCACACATGGTTGAATCAAAGATGTATAGTTGCAACAGGTGATCTCGGTAGCACATAACCTACAACAGAATCAATTTATCAATTTCTTTAAATCATCATTAACCTGGGTAAGTAAAGAAAAAGCTACTATTGATTTTTTTCCCATAGCTTCCTCTTCCTATAGAGGAAGCAATTTTTTAAACTGCAGATATTTATTGTAGTCCAAGACTGACAGGGATTGATAATTTGGAATTTTGCAATATAAGGATTTTCTAAGAAGCCACTACTAAAACTGTACTAAACTAGCATTCCCTTCCCTCTCTGATTTTTCTCAGATCTATTGGACAACATTTTTCTCCTAACCCTGCTGAATGAGGATGGTGAATAGCACTAAGTTTGGTTAGTATGTTGTCACTTGTACATTCAAGTTATATTTATTTTATGTAGAAAGAATAGTATCTGTTTCAGAAAGGGAGGGAGGGAGAGAGAAAGAATGTAATGCTTATACATTAGAACTATTTTATGTCTGCAACAGATTGGGGAGCATTTCATTCATGTTGGTCTAACATTGTTTGAAGCTGATGCACAAAGGGCTTTGATGCACAATTTGTTAGCAATTCAAAAAAGAAAGCATTTTTTGATACTAAGGATGATAGCAATATGAAAATGATGATAGTGATAATAAATGTTTTAAATAAGTAAAGTAAGGAAGCAGGTAAACAGGTAAGTAAGTATGGGGGGTGTATTTGTGAATTAAATGTTTGATGTAGCTTTAGGTAAACGAATTTCTGTAGGCCAAGTCCCTCATTGTTTTTGCATGTTGTTCCTAAAGATAGATCACGGGACTCTAGTGAAAAGCAAAACTGCTTTCCCGTGCTGATGTATTGGGAACTTTGACTAGGAATTCTGCAAAGCATGCTCCTACCACATTTGGAGAGTACAAAAATAATAATTGCTATCTTTGATGTTGTCTAGGAATTGTATTCTCCTGATGCCAAAATTGAGTCCTAAGTTTCTGCTAGCTTTCAATTGCAAATTTGTCATACCTGATAAGGTATTCTCTCTTATTTATTATTATTTATATTATGTACAATATATAAAATATTACATTTGCATTAAAAATTGCAATATTGGTTACATTGTTATATTAATTTATTATTAAATTAGTTTAGGCTGCTTCCTCATTAGGAATTTAAAGCACTTCCTTACCCCAACATCACTGAAGCGACGTAGGGCCAGTCCGGATTACTTTTAGATTCGCACAATAGTTGGATGATTCTAAAAAGTGGCAAGTTTCTATTGAGGGAATGGCCACAGTTTCACCATGTCTCTCCACTTTCTGATCATACTTGCTTGGAAGGAACTTCAGTTTATCTGTGATACTTTCAGCTGTATATATTCACATGGCCCTTACAAGGATCTTGCTAATTTTGGCTAATAATAATTTGGATATTTGTACAATCACTTTGCTATATGTGCATTTCATTTTCACTCCACTTTGTCTCCTTTTAAAACTTTATGCCTTATGCCCTCAGTTTGTGCCTTATTTTTATTAGTCATTTGAATTACATTCCTGCAAAATATCACTCTGAGCTCGTTGTGATGAAGGATCCAATTTATGAATTTAATACATAGATAAACAGAATGACAAAAACTGAAACCCCTGAAATTTTGTAATGATATATACTGCTGGGTAGGAATTATTCCAGGAATGAAGAAAACCAGAGCTGTCGAATAAATGTTACTTCTTTGCTTTAATATAAGTGAATGTAAATTCTAAGAGGATCTCTCATTGATTAATATACTTGATAACGTAAGCCATTGTATTTTACAGAGGAAGCTGTTTCTTCCACTGCAGTGGAGGAAGAAATGGCGAATCAAACAACAGTGACAGAATTTTTCCTCTTGGGTCTTGCCAGTGAACCAAAGTTACGTTTTGTTCTCTTTGGGATGTTTGTGATTGTCTACAGCATCACACTAATGGGCAATGTGATCATCCTAATGTTAATTTGGCTGGATTCTCAACTCCACACCCCCATGTACTTCTTCTTAAGTAACCTCTCCTTTGTAGACATCTGGTATATAACTAGTATCATTCCTCAGTTATTAGCCAACCTGTGGATCCCAAAGAAGACCATTTCATTTGCTGGTTGTGGTGTTCAGATCTACTTTTTCTTTGGCCTGGCCATTACTGAGTGTGTCCTTCTTGCAGTCATGGCCTATGATCGCTTTGTGGCCATATGTTACCCTCTGCACTATACCCTCATGATGAACCAGAAAGTCTGCATCAAGTTGGTGTTAGCAGCCTGGCTCTTTGGCTTCCTCCTTGCAATGGTGCATGTAGTCAATACTCTCCAAATGCCTTACTGTGGTCCAAATGTCATTAACCACTTTTACTGTGACATCCTGGTTCTGCTGAAACTTGTGTGTGCTGACACCCATCTCAATGAAATGATTGTGTTTGTGATTGCTGTCCTCATTCTTTTGTGTCCCTTTTCCTTTATACTGATCACATATGTCCACATTCTAATAACCATCTTGAAGATTCACTCCACACAAGGCCGGCGTAAAGCTTTCTCTACATGTGTCTCCCACATCACTGTGGTGGTATTGTTTTACGGAAGTGCTATGTTCATGTACATGAGACCTGGCTCAAGCCATTCACCAAACCAGGATAAAATGGTCTCCTTGTTCTATAGCATTGTCACACCCATGTTTAACCCTATGATTTACAGTCTCAGGAACAAGGAAGTGAAAGGGGCCTTGGTGAAAGTGTTGCAGAGATGCAATGTCTGTCATAGGACTTAAAAATTTATTGGAGGTCAGAATGAAATGTTCACCCCAAATGTGGTCTAACTGGAAACGTGTTAGACTCAACGTGGTTGATGCTTTGTATTGATAACCTGGAGACTTATGCCCTCTAAACAACGTAATGGTAGTACAGCAGTGGATATTTAAGATCTTGCTACATTCAAGGCATGGGTGAAGAGTAAAACAGTAAAGATTTTGCAAGGGGCCTTTTCATTTTTGCATACCAGGTGGGTGAGGCTGGGCTGAACTGAAAGTTGTTTGCTTCCTCATCCATAATATTTGTCATATTAGCAATGTTGATTTTTTTAAAGTTTCGTAATAAGAATTGTTTTTTTTTCTCCTGAAGTATCCATTTAAGCTCTCTTTGCTGAAAAGGAGATTTCCTCTAATTGTTATCAGAGCATGCTCTATTTTCATTTCTGGTTTGTCTTTTGTTAAATCTCAGTGTTTTTTAGAGTACTGATTGATAAGAATGATTAAGATTTCATAGTGTATATATTAAAAACATTAAAATTAATATAATGTTCATTTAATTAACCAAGTAACTTTGGACAAATTGCTCTCAGGTGAGTCTAACACCTTCTGTTTTGTTATGGTGATAAGATGAAATTATTTTTATGTATTCCAGCCTAAGAGGAAGTGTGATATAACACTGCAATGGATGGCTAAATAAATATTTTCCTGAAGGGGAAAGTTTCTAGATTGTTGTGTGTTTATTTTTCAAAATCGTTCAAACTTTTATTTTTCCTTATTAGATAGAGAAGGCACTTGCAATTCCTGTGTCAAAGCAACCCATTGAACTCATAGCAACTTCAGTAGTGATTTTAATAGACTACAATAATAGCAATCATTTCCACCATGGTTTGGATTCAGACTAAGATACCATCAAGCCCAAACTAGACTCAGATTATTATTCCCATCAAGACCAAGTTGTAATCATGACTGGGTTGTAAGTGAGAACTGTGACAGAAATATGCAAGAACCATTTCCTAGGTAAAAAGGGGTAAACATTATTTCAGTCCTGGGAAATAAGATAATATTTAGAAGCAGCTAGTACTGATTCACTGGGGTATATGAAGAAGGGAAGGCGCAGTAGAATCAGTCTTGTAGAATTTTGTTATAGCCTATCTATCTTAATAAAGTATAGTTACAGTCTTTCTATTGCTTTGTGCCTAAGGCAGAACTAGAACCCCCAGTCTCCCAGATTCTAGTCTGATTCTTTACCCATTAGGGCAAACTGGTTCCCCAGTTTAACAAAAGCAATTATCAATTTGATCCAAGGGTGCCATGATAGTAGAACAGGGCAACAGTGTTTGATCATTGGGTAAAGGGTGAGCTTTCACACAAGCAGTTGAGTTCTTGATAAAGTATTCAACATATAAATTCATATTTGGCCAATATAACTCAGGATAGAGAATCTGTTTGGATTGCATCACATCTTGATATTATCATCAGCTTTAACAATTTGCACATACTAATTCTGGGATAACAATTCACTTATTCTGCATATTCTTAGATTATTGCAGTGGAACAGGGATTGCTTGTGGTCATGGATTGGGTTTGACCCATATGTTGAAGTGTTGTGATCAAAGCATCTTACCAACCATAAAGCAAAGGTTTTTAAATGATAATTCCTTAAAATTCAAACATATCCAGATCACCAACCGGACAAGCATATTCCTCTAAACAATGAATTTGATTCTGAATCAGGTAATGAAAGTCAAGAAAAGGAATCGGGTACATTCAGATTCCAAAATTTAGTTGTAATATGAAAGTATACAGTTGCAATCTCCAATTGAGACACTGAATGCAAGATGACAAACTTCATATCGTTGAACCATGTGTGTGAGCAGTTGTGAGCTATCAGCAGCACAAATGGACATCTCCATAGGGAACATTAATATGTTCTATAACTAACGGAGTTTCCGGTTTGCAAGGCTTCGGCGGCAGCAGGAATCTGCGATCGTGCGCGGTTTCTGCTGCACTCGCCGCTGGAGTGCCCCCGATCCAGCCGGATTTGGGGGCTATAGTTACCCCATAGAGGTAACTGAAGACAGGGGAGATCCGGCAGGGGTTCGGGGGAATTGCAACCCCCCCTCCTCAGCTGGCTTAACTCCCTTTTCCAAAAGTGGTGGAGCAGCTGTCAGCAATGGCCGCCACAAAGAAGCTTTCATCCAGACAAGAATGCGCAGGAGGAAGCTGAGAAGTGAAAGTTTTTGGCTGATCGGGATAACAAGTAACATTTAAATACCCTGGAATTTAAATTTTATTAAAGATACATCGCTCCCAAAGAAGACTTGGAAAAAGCGGTGAACAAAAGTAAAAAGGGAACGTTTGGTTTTTTTCACTCTCCTTCCTTACGGTGATAGCAGATAAATGAGAAATTGGAAAAACCCATTTTTGGCATCAGCAGGTAATTAAATTGGAAAATTAAAGCCAAGGGGACAAAGATTTCTGAACATTGGAAAAAAAAAACTTTTTTTTGCTATAAGTGGGAAGGGAGAGGAAAATAATTAACATTAAGACTTTGCTGGAGGAGGCTGCTTGGAATTTATAAGACTAGAGCTAAATTGTGACAAAACTTCTAAAAGATATATTTTAATTGGAATTTTGCAACTGAACTGTAACCCCAGGAAGAGAAAGTATAAAAAGAAGAAAGTGCTAAATGGAACAGTCTGTGTGTATTTGGATTGCTTGGTGACTTTGGGACTTTTGGAAATTATTATTTGAAAGACTAAAAACATTTGGGTTGTTTAAATTTTTTTTCACAATGGCATTACTTGTTGATGAACTGAAAATGGAATTTAAAAATTCCAGGGCTCTTCTGGAAGAAATTCCAGGGCTCTTCCAGGGCTCTTCTGGATCTGTTTTCCATTTCTTAGAAATTGTGATTTCTACCTACCAGAAACTACAAGAAAAAGAAGATTGGGATGAAGAAGAAGCCATCTTTAATGAACAAGCAATTCTAGCTGGGGAAGAAAAGGGAAAGAGGGGAAAGAGAATGGAGAATTTAAGACTTAAAAAAACAACCAAAAAAGGGAAAAATAAGGTGAAAAATCGATACAATGTCAGAAAGCAACAGAAAAGAGGAATACAGAAGAGGGTGGAGATTAAGAGGGTGGAAATCAAGAGGGGGAGTAAAAAGGCTAGAGAAGAAAGGAAAGGGAAAAGGGAAGAGAAGTTACAAAGGTTTGAAACAAGATGTAAAGAAACAGGATTTATTTAGAGATAATGAGTAAAAAATATAATTAAAAAAGAGATTCTGCAAAAGTACATAAGACTATATTGTTGTATTTGTATTTGAAATAATGTTAGAAAATTGGAATATTATATGATTATAAAATGGGATAAAATATTAAAAGGAATGTGTAAAATGCTTAAGACTTAATGATAGAGTTTAATTTGCTATGGATTATTGTTTTAATTATATTATAAACTTATTATTCTTTTTTATTTTAAAATATAGTATGCAGCTTTAGAATGTACTAAGCAGAATCAGAATGAAAATTATATATTATTTTAAGTGTTAAATTTAGGGGAAAGATATAAAGGCATCATACTTCAATCAGTGATTACAGGAGAAATTTTGTGTTAATGAGAAAAGATAATAGAATAATTGAAATAGAACAGACAAAAGATATAAACTTAATGATTTAAATTGAGATGAAATAAATAAAACAGAATTAAGAGAGTGAAAAGAGGGGAGAAGTTATATAGAAAATGTAGAATGGTAAATAAGATATGAAATGGTATATAAAGTGAACATGAATTCGAATTTATGTCTGTACAAAAAGATGTAACCCGGGATTAAACCGCTTTCCAAAAAGAAGTTTTATGTTTTTATGTTTTGTGTTTTGTTTGTGTATGTTTGTTTATTGAAAATAAAAAAATTATTTTAAAAAATGTTCTATAACTTACATGGCATGTGTCTCAAAATTCTACGTGGAATAAGAAATACATGTTCAGGATTATTTAATATTGGTAATTCAATGTCCTAATGGACATTTACATAGAGGCCTTGAACATGTATGTAGTTTAGAGCTTTCTGCTTTTCTTCCTCCAAAATATTGAACTACTTGAGCAAGGAATGAATATCATCTTCAAGAAGCAATTTTTTCCATGATAAGAAATAGTTTTCAATGTTCAAAACATGATCCTGTGCTTGGTTTGGTTTCTCTGCTGACAGTTACCTATCTGGCCAGTAGTTATGATGGAGCAGGCAGTGTTGGTGAGGCTTGGAGATGGCTGTGGAAAATTAGATGGCAGCTTCTTCCTGGTGGTGCAACATTAATCAATGGAATAGGGATGAGGTCTTCTTATCCCATCAGTCACCTTTAGCAACGAATGCCACACCCCTCAGGATCCCAGGTCAGCTGACAAAGCCAGGTTTTGATACCCTTCAAAGGGAGGGGGAAGGGGCCACAATAGAAAAGGCTCTTTTCCTTGACCCTGCCTGTTTCTATTCTCTAGTAGGCATCTTCCACCATTGCAAGTGGGGCGGGCTTGGAGAGAGATGACTTCTCAGATATCCTGCATTTAGCATTTAGTATAGTGGATTGGATGAGTTTTCCATCCAGTTCAAAATATGTGGGTGCTTCATCACTGAAGGTTTTTAAGAAGAGACTGGACAGTCCTTTGTCTATAATGGTATAGGGTCTCCTGTTTGAACAGTGGCTGGGCTAGAATACCTCCAAGCTCTATTCTTCCAGCTCTATTCTGATTCAAGATTATATATCCCTTCCTACCAGCTTGACTGATTTGCTGTGTCACACTTTTTTATTTCATGCAGACAGCTTGACTTCATTATTCTTCTCTTCTTAATTTGTGATGTGCTGCCATACCTTCTCAGGAGCATTCTCTTCTGCCATGGTAGAAGGTTGACATTGAGCTGCTAGTTGTTGTGATGCAGGCTGAAATTCAGATTAGTCAAGCTCTTTAACTTCTGGACTTTAAAGAATAACAGAAATGTTATATGAAATGTTATTGGGTCCCCTGCT